GGGGGGGACCTTCTAGTGAGGGGACCTACCAGAATTTACCCATCCGATCAGACACAGATGAGAATAAAACTGTCAGGAGACAACCAGGCGCTCCCGATTATTAGATTGCTTTAGTTAATTAATTAATTTTGTTCTTCAATCGACTTTACGGTTTACCCCACGCTATGCAATTTTTCTCGGAGATTCCAAATCTGCTTTCACTTTTGATAAAAATTGAAGGATTACTGAATTCTCGACGGATGCAATTGGCAATGCACAGCCTGGCCGAGAGCACATATTCTTTGAAAAGAACGATAATCAGAGGGAATCTTGGCTATCATGCTCGGCCCCAACATATACTTCGTTATAAGTCTGAAACATTCCTGCTTGTCTGTTCACAACTAGTCAGATGTCAGGATTGAGCAGAAAACTTACACTGTTTTAGTTAACAAGAGTCATTTATTTGCGAGTGTTATAGTTAGCATTATGATATGGTCAATAATGGTTGTATCACATTGCATCAATAAAGTCAATACTTTAAATTTTAATTAACAATATTAAAATGGAAAAAGTATTATTACACATCACAGAAATGCTTGAGCTCACATGCTGATTAAAATGTATGAAAAAGGAACACAACACAAAATTGTAATAAAATCACAGCACAACAGTTCTCAATGAAACGTAAATGTCACTACAACGAGGCAAACTCCAAGGTGCAATACACCGAAAACTGCCTAAATTCAGAACATTTACTGCACACATTCTCGACATAGCTGAGGCGATTACTTGAAACCAATTAAACTTGGGGCTCTTCTGAATAGTGATGTATGGCTTGACTATGAGGAATATTTTTTTATCTGCAACTAGTACCTCATTTATAAGTGCAAACTTCTGCTTGCCAGTACAAACAAAGAGTCCATGGCGGTATTCTTCACCATTCAGAATAGCAGCAATTGTAGAATAGCTCTTGATTTGGAGAAAGACCAACTTCAGCTAGTGCATCACAATACTCACTTTGACTGACCAAGAACTTACGACCGTTTTGGTACTCTACGTCCCGCTCTTCTCCCATGGTAAAAAATGAATTCATGTTGCTTAGCTGGAACATTTCAGCCATGGTTTTAGGTGGGTTCTTAAAATTACAACAAATGGCAGCATGTTGTCTGAAGATTTTCATAAGTCCTTCAAATTTTGCACACCACATTCTCACCAATGGGCCAAATTCTCTAGTGTGTGAGATGTTGCATTTTGTTAATAACATAAACTTTAAAGGGTTTTGGAGGAGGTTCTTCTTGACCTTGATCTCCACTTTCTACTCCACCTTGATCACCATTCTCTTCTTGAGCTTCTGCACCTTCTACCTGAGCTTGGTCTTCATTTCCTTCTTGTTCTGCATAAACTTCATCATCCGGATCATCAACATCTTCTTCATTCACCTCAGTCTCAGCATCTTTTTCCCCGATGTCAACAAAAAGCTTTTGAAATAATGTATTGTGGCGAAATATCAATCGCTCAAGTCTGAGGAGATCTTCCTCAGTTAGTTCGAAAGAGAAGACAATTTGCATTATTTCTTGCAATAAAAATATGAGTTCCATACAAGGATCTCCCTCCTCCACAAGATCATGAAATAGGAATGGAAATGCTCTCATGAGGCACCACATTTGGCTGCCAGTCTGTTTGAGCTTCTTGGATCTTGAAGTTAACATACCTTCATGAAAATTTTTGACTGGCTTGTTCTTACCATCAGGGAGTCCATAGGAAAATGATTCAATTCTGTCATTGAATTTGTCCACATCGAGCAACTTTCTGTTAATAATATACTCGCGTTACACCAACTTCAAAACTAGTGGTACTATGCCCTCCAAAAGGTCATGAAAGGCATCAAAGACACCCTGGTCTACACTGCTAAAAAAAGGCACACTATCAAGTGGGCTATCCCTCTTCACTCCACAGTCTGAAGACTTGCTAGGATGTTGCAAAACTTCGTCAACATGTTGTTTATGCATTTCTTTGGTCCTGGGGGCACCAGTGGCATTTGCATTAGCCCTAATTTCCGCTCTACTCACCATACATTTCCTACAAAAGTATTTAGCACCAGGACCTAAAAATCCAAGCAAATCATGGGCCGCCAAGGTGTCAGCAGTAAGAGCAGCAAGGATAGCTCGCATTACAAAATCTTCATCATGGAATGGCAGTCCATGGTCTGATGACAACTTTTTCATATCATGAATAAATGGTGTTAAAACCTTTTTAAAAGCACCAGGCTTTTTCATATCACTAGCATGCGCGAAAGCCAAGAGATGAATAGAGGACAAGGCTGAAGAAAACTCAGGGGGCAAATTCAAAATTTGAAACAAGAATACACCTAATTTGTGAATGATAGTCTTAGATCCAAGACCATTTGCTATTTCCAGCTCATCATAAAATAACAAGATATGCAGAACATTTTCATGTTTCAAAAGAAAGGGGTGGTTTTTAAACTTTGATCCATCCACAAAAGATCTGAGCACTCCATCATGGCTGACTCTGTCCTTAAAAACCCTATTTCTTACTTTCTTGTTGGAGAGAAGAGATTTTAAAGTCCCCAGCACAGAAATAGATTGAAATGATTCCGGCACCTGAGTTTGAACGTAGGAGTTTGTGCTAGGGTTCAATCTTTGATCAATCCTTGAGTCTAAATATTTCTGTTGAGGCTTTACAAGTCCACATTTCTCAGAGAAATAATTTAGCTGATCTTCTATAGTTCTGAGATGTTTAAAAGGATCTTCTAGTGAGTCTATTGAACTCAAAAGCTGTTCAATTTCAGTTGGAGCAAGTCCCTTCTCTGTCAACTTAGAAGTAAGATCATGACGAACACTAGCCGAGAACTGCTTGATCATGGAGAATGCACCAGCTTCAAACCTTTCAATAGACTTGCCAGTCATAATCACGCAAAATATTTTTGCTCATCCAGGAGTCAATCTCTGGCTAAAATTCCTGATGATGAATTGTATACAATTTTATCACAGGCATTTAATGTTCCTAGCATTTCTTTTCCTGAAAGTCTCAAACAGGAAATGCTAAGTTACCACCTGGAACACATCAGGCAAAAGCTACTTCCCTGACGAGCCAAGAGACATATTTAAGACTAGACATAGCAAGGACATCATATAGCCTTAGTCTTTATAGTGTCCATTCTATGTCGAAAAGTCATGTCCATTTGTTTCAAATTTTGGACTGTGCCATAGAGCCATCTCAGGGACATAAGGAAGACATACTAAAATGAGTCCAAAAGACATATGCAGGGTCATACCTCAAGTCTTCTATGGCCAGATAATGTCATGATAGCTTATATCTGGGGATAAATAAGTTATGTACTAAAAAATTTGCATCGTGTGGGATGAACAATGAACGCCTTCCCCTATTAGTGGCGTCATTACTTCATCCGATACAACGAGGCCTCCTCAGAGTCAGGATAGGCTGACGAAAGACCTAGTATAACGATGCCCGTAGATTTCCGCGAGCAAAGTTCCTTCCCGCATTGCGAGTTGCTCCATCTATCGGTGACTCTGGTTTCTTCAGCAAAGACTTAAGAGGGACATAAAATAGACTCGACATATATGACCGTATACATATGTCTTGGACGAACAATAAGGACATGTAATACTGGACATAGCCGCTGAACATATACGCCATATATGTTTATAAAAGTAAACCATACAAAAGACAACAGACGGACATAGGACATTGAAATCCCTCTAGACCCAAAGGTCATACGTCGGACATGGTAGAAGGACGTAGGACATAGCAAATCCTATTTGACATGCATGGAACTCCACTCGAAGCTCTCGATAGAAGTGGAAGGATGGGGAAA